ATCTTAATTTCAAATGAGAAAAGTGTGTACGTCAGATGTGAATGGCCATTTTTTTTTATGATATCATTTTAGGGGGAATGACAGAACGCGGGGCACATGAAGAGCGATACTCTAACGTAATAGGTATGCAGATTTTGCTGTGCTTAATTTTGGGAAAAAGAGAGGGGGGAATGATTTATTTACTTGGCGGCGCAGGGGTTGCCTCGCCCACCGTTTGTTCGCCCGCTTGTTTGCTAACCCGTTCGCTTGCCTTTTTTTTCAGTGCTACATGAAGGGGACATCTTCGCTCAAGGGGCATTCTCACTTTCGGGCTCCCCGATACAGTCGCGGGTGAAATAAATGGGCGGGGAAAATTACTTTTGTGGGGCAATGGGCGTCACCAACGTTTCCCCGTCCGGTTTGTGCTAAGGATTTTCCAATTAGGCATTCGCAATGAAGGTTATCACAGGATGGTGGCGTGTGAATATGGCATTCATCGAGCGATGAGTTCACCTTCATTTCACGTTAAATTCTTCCTCTTCACCAGATAGGCCGTTCCCCTTGTCAGGGTTCAACCCCTGGGTGGATATGCAGTCGGGTTTGTTCCCCTGTCGCACCTGGTCCAGCTGCTCGTGTAACTGAAAAGGTACCGTAGATGTATATGCCCAATTCCATACATACGAAGAAACTTCCTTGCCTGGAGGTGTGAAAGGAGCGATGAAGCACGCCAACGGGGGATACTCACAAAATGGGTTATTTTTCCACGTTATATGTTTTTTTCTCCGAAAAGGAAAAATCCTGAAAAAGAATATCCTGCTGCTCCCTCCTACGCTTGAGTAAAAAAAAAGTGGTAAAAGAAAGATCTGCCAATAGGAGCCACCATATTACCTCGCTCAATATTGTGCAAGCCGTTTTTCCTAATCGGTTTTTCAACCTCATTCGAGGGATTCACTTCCATTTGGGCTCTTCCCATATGTAGGGAGTTCTCACCAAACGGGTCATGCGAAAAAGGTGGATAAGGGATTCATATTAGATTGGGATAACCCGGAGCATTGAAAGTACACAAAATATAAACTGCTAGAGCAGTAGCAGCATGCATCGCTTACTTCACGTCAGGGTTAACTCTCCTAGGGGTAGAAGCGGCAGGGGGGTGTAAGGAAACATACACGGGGGTATAATCCTACAGGGGTCTACCAGACGCAGTTCTGTGATCACCCCCCCGGTTGCGCTGCTGACCTCAAAATAGTTAAATAGTAAGGGTACACCCCCCAAATGAGAAGGTATACACATCAAAAGGCAGACACCTCGGAATGGCATGGAAAGGATGGATAACCCATCTCATCAACTAGTAATCAAAAAAATAAAAATAAATAAAAAAAAGAATAATGCAGCTTCGGAAATGCGTAATAACCTGGTGTGTAGTCCTACTAACATCACATCTAAGGAGCAATTTTGTGAAATGCAAAAGTTTGAAAAATAGTAATCCATTTGGCGATAATATATCATGGGGGGGCAAACTGATCAAGAGAACTAATAGCTCAAACAGGAAGTTCCAAAGGGCGATAGCAAATGGTATGATATTACCCCAAATCAGGAAAAGGAATACATACAAGCACATGAACAGGGTTACAAAGCGATTATGCACGATTAATCCGCACAATAACCCTGCCAACAGCCGTGGCTTAGAACCATCTACAAGCGTTAAGAAACACATGAGGACCAAGTACAACATGGGGAACGCTAACTACAGAATACAAAAGGAGTTACATAACTTTCTGAATAATCCCCCCATTAACTGCACCCTAGATGTACACCCAAATAATATCCGAATCTGGATTGTGAAATATGTAGGACTGGAAAATAGTATATATGCTAATGAAGTGTACAAACTTAAGATAATATTTCCAGATGATTATCCTTTGAAGCCCCCCATTGTGTATTTTTTACAGAAGCCACCGAAACATACTCATGTGTATTCTAATGGAGACATATGTTTAAGTCTACTCGGTGATGACTACAACCCTAGTTTGTCCATTTCCGCCTTAGTCCTATCCATCATATCGATGTTATCATCTGCTAAGGAGAAAAAATTGCCCATTGACAACTACACACATGCGGATGCGAAACCGGGGAGCAGCCAGAACAATTTTCTCTACCACGATGATAAGTGTTGAGGGTGGACATGCGGTCTGCCCGTTTGGAGCACTTCGCCTTCATATGTCCACGTTAATGCGTTTTTTTTTTTTCTTTTTTTTTTTTTCCCCAATATTGTGACCCATTTAAAAAATCACCCTTTTACGTATCAAAGCGAGTTTGTTTTGGGGACCTACGGGCTTCCCTTTCACGACACGGGCATTCCCACTGGCTCATTTTGCACCAATTTCGTGGATGTACATAATGCGTATGTTTTTGGCACCTTTGCCAATTGTACGTTTTTTTTCTTTTTTTAAATGTCGCGTAGTTTCGTTCATTTACTCCCTACAGGCACAACCGACTTGTGCGCGTTTTCCGATGCCACTGAGGTTTGTTCAAACTCAGTCGTCTTCACATTCTGCGACGCGAAGTAGCAACACGGGCATCCTAAAAAATCGCCATTTATGTGAATACAAACGCATATATGTATAACCCCTATCATTTTTTTATCAAAAAATAATTTTTCACAATAACCTGATGTAATGAACTAACGAGTTGCATGTAGAGGTTGTTGTGAGAAACAACAATGACGTGGTTCAGGGAACGAGGGGGGCTTTCTCTTCTCCTTTTGAATATTTCCCGTACTTTCTTCCCTCCCTTTTTTTTTTCTTTTCAGTGCACGCGTGTGTACATTTGTGAGAGGCACATTTGGCACAATTGTTTTCGCGCACATTGTCTGTTTTTATTTTTTCTTAAAAAACGAGAAGGGGAACAAATCGCCGTGGAGAAGACAACACTGATGCTAATTTGTTCTTAGTTGGGAGCTGGTTTCAAAGGGGCATCCGTAAAATAATGGAAGCGTGCAACGAATGAAGAAAGTGAAATGCCAAATTAGGTCAAGCGAACCGGGGAAGTCAAAATAAAACGCTCATGACATACCCATTTGTGGGATTTTCTTATTTCCATTTGTTACGTGCCTACCCGTTTCTACAAACTTCATTTAAGAAAAGTGCACACAAAATACACACGAAAAAGAAGAACGAAAAAATCCCCCAATTGCAAATATTTACCCGTAAGATGGGTGTAAAAAAGGGGTGTAATTAAAAATGTTCCAATGTTGAGAAAAAGGCGGGCGGAATTTTGCCCACTAAATATAACTCTTTTGCAGAAAAAACATTGAACAGGCAGTTCTCGCTTTTAAATATGTTTACACACTTTTTTCTGATTATTTTTCCTCTCTACAGAGTAGCAGTTGTCCCAAGGTGGACGCTCCAGTTGCCTGAAAAATACCGCCTAGAAATAACGCCTGTGGGGGGCAATCAGTTAATACGGATATGCGAACGGTAAAGCGGCAAAAATTACAAATACCTACTAGGAAAAGCATTCTTCTGCAAAACAAGTTGCAGTTGTAAAATGGCCGCTTTACAAAACAGCCTTTTTTAGCTGTATTCGCTCGATGTTTTTTTTTTTTTTTCCCCATCTGCAGGCAATTTTTTGGCATATTTTTGCACACCCACCTCAACTGTTCATGCAATTTTCAATAACGTTTTTTTTTTTTTTTTCTGCTCATCCATCTGGTGATGCAGTTGTGATGTCGCTAAAGAAATGTTGTGAAGTAACATTAGCGTTGTCAGGAAAAGTCAATCGCGCAGCTTCAATTCCCGTTTTGGTTAACTACATCGTTCCTAGTGAGTGTACATCGTTTGGCACACATGACAAAAACGAATTTATGACGCGGTGTGCACCTGCGCTTTCTACATTCGAATTTTCGAGCGCGAGTATTTTCTGGCATGGAGTTTGAAAGTGGAAATTGGGGAACATTGGTAAATCCGCGTCACGAGTGATTGTACGTGCGTACGCATGGGAAAGTATTCCAAACTATGCGAAAGTGTTACATATACGTGTATACATAATTGCATTGTAGTTGCAAATTTAAGTATCAATTTGTAGTATGCGAATATGTCCATGTACGCGGCTTCACGCCTGTACGCATATATGCACTACGCATTCATGCAGCCATTCTCCCGTGTGCACATGTCCGTATGCGGCCCCTTCACACCCCTGCGCCATTTTTTAAAAAATATATTCACTTAAGAAATGTTTGCGCAAAACATATCGCATTTTTTTCCATATTTTTTCCCACTTTGAAAAGATTAAATTGTGTATATGTGTATAAAGGCAGTTTAGTCCTATCCCCGCCTTTCCCCCACAATTTGTTTCTTCCCCCTGTCGTACGTGTTTCTTTTTAACATCTGATTTTGCCGCACTGCATCAGCCATATGGTATTGTCCGCGCGGTTGCAGTGCAAAAATGTTTATTACAACAGCTAGTGCGTTGGAGTAGACACCAAAACAGTTCCGCGTTCCGGCATGCATCACACCTGCACGTAATGGCAAATGCAGAAATCGGATAAACTGTCATCTCTTTGTCGTTACTCTGGCTAAAATTCGACCATTTTGGCGCCCCTTCTGTGATGAATTTTTCCCCCTTAATGTACCCTCGCTTTATTCACGAAACAGAACATCTTCGCGAAGTTGCGTTTTATGCACACAGGTTGCCGACGCCTTTGCACCTCTCACCACTATGTTTCGCAGGTGAAGGGAGCGCGAAAGGGAAAACACACAACAGGAAAGAAACGTAAACCGTGGTGACTGTGTGGCTCTGTTGCAGCAATAAGGAGCACAAATAGGAAACGTGCAAAGAATTTGCAACACAGAAGTAACGTAGCACAACGCCCTATCTGTAGCCCCACCCATGCTGCACAAACTGTATTGCGCAGACGCAGTAGTACAGGTACACACTTCTTATCCTATCAGCCACGTCGCGTGAGGCGCTGTATCACACTCCTCCACTACCAAAGCACTCCCCCAATGGCAAACATGTTTCCGAACCCGTCGCCCAACTATGAAAAATTGAAAAAGGTGGAAAAAAGTTTTGACGAAACAAATGACACGGTAGGTGGCAGCATAAGTAGACTGTACACCATAGATGGCTACACGAGTGAAAGCATAGGAATTACACAGCCGCAGTACAAGGAGTATTATAGCTACCCAAATGCCATAGTTCAAGAGTATGAACCTAAGAGTAACACTCCTTCCATGACCTTCGGGTGTCCAGGAAATCCATTCAGTTGTAAGCCCCCCAATGCAAAGGTATTTATTCGACGAGTAGAAAATAAAAAACGGAAAGTGTGCAATAAAAAATGCACCTCCTTGAATAGCTCCTTTTCTCAAGACATTAATCCGTTTGTTGTGTATCCAAGTAATTCCATTAATGAAAATAACGTGGTAGGGGAGTTGGGTTATACTATGCCCCTTAACGATACAGATAAAAATGTCCCTTTTGGAGGGAATTATGTTCCTGACAAGAACAGTCGATTGACGTATGCCTATCTGTCAGATGATCTCAACTACTCACTCAATGGCCAATTCATGAATATGGACACCCCCTACATGAATGTTCCGCTGTGCGTGCGTGAGTCCTTCCAGAACAACGACCCGTGCAACGTCATCAATGCGGGATATCCCCTGCTCCGGGTAGGGAGCGCTCAGCGCGATGCGATCGATTATGGCATCGTCGCATAGTTGCATCGCCTTATCAGCATCTCCCCCATTTTACCCCCTCCGACACGCTCCATGGCGAACTCCCCTCCCCTTTTGTGCCCCTTCCTGCAGGACGGCCAGCTTCACCTAAACAAAGGCCTTCCCCAAGAAATGGACGTGACATGCCACATAACCCCCAAGGACGTGGTCACATATATCCATAATTTCATAAAGTACATTTTTAAAGTCATCAAATTAGCCTTCGCAAAAATAAACAAGGACC